CCCCAAATTTATATATGTTTTTGAAATTACATTTTCGCCAATCGATGGAGGTGCATCCTCCAGCCTGTCGGAGTATCAGCCGCCACTCTTCCAGTACGCCGTTCTTTGCTCTACGCTCTACGATTTCGTGGCGTCGATTATTGAAGGGGGGGCAGATTAAGGGACTTGAGATTTTTGTTAAGAATTTTGATTTTATGATACTTTCGTTATAATGCGATGTGAGAATAGAATGCTATCAAAGAACACTCACGTTTTCGATAAACTTTGTCTTCTTCCACTCAGCCTTTAATTTTACAATTTTCACAGAGTAACAGTTATAAATTTCCTTTAAAACGACTTTTGTATCTTGAAACTGTCAGAAGTTATCTCTGTCTAATTATCTACTTGGAAGTTACAATTTCGTTGTTTGCGTGTCCTGATCACAAATGCAAAGTTTGGGAGTTTGACTACTTTTTCTTCATTTTACACCCAAACAGAAAAAATACTGGTTAAATCCCAAGCATACGGCCCCCTCGACCAATGTTTTTAATAAAAATGTGCATTAAAAAGAGACTTCAGTATCAGCTAAAGTCTTTTTAAATAACATATCTTGTGATTTTGCAATACTTTCGGAAGAAAACTTAAGTGTCCGTATTTTCGTTAAAAACGTACATGAAACTTATTTCTAAATGTTATCCGGTTCAAAACCAACTACTATAATCCTTAAAAAATAATAGATAACAAATTTTTTAATCGGATAATATTGATTAGACAATGATATATGTTATGTCGAAGATAAAAGTATTTTTGAAATGTATACTCTGACAAGTACACTTACACATTTACTTATTATGAATTAAACACAATGTATTTCAATTTAGATTTTTTGTCACTTTGTTTTTGACAGCGCTATCTGAGGGTAAATGCCCGAGTCCGTCTGCAACACTCGGTCTGCTGTCGTGAACCATCTATACATAGGCAAAGAGTTCATAGGCGTCTGATGACTTGGTGGTCCGAGTGCTTTGGGGTTAGACATATTGCAATTGGTATTGAGGTGTGTTCACTGTCGATGTGACTTGTTGCTGTGAATTTAGATTGTGCCTAATAACAAGAGAGATCGAAAATGGTACGTTATGTTTTAGTTAGTATTCGTTGTATAAAAATACTAAGTGTTGGTCGACAATAACAAGACGCCATTGCAGCTGTGTAACTAATCTTTTTACGTCGTTGGTGTCGTTTTTTGCGAGTTATATAAAATTTCCACTTCGACTTTATTTGTCAACAGAATTTGTCGTGCTTCGAACCATGGAAAAAGATCCTTTGAGAGGCAATGCTACGATATCAATGAGTTATCCTGCATCTTACCAAGCTGTTGATGATCAGGTAGTACCTTTAATTAAATGTAATATAAGTCGCGTTTCCTTATCGTAGTGACCAAATGTTTAATTCATTTTCTCTTTTAGGTTGCAAACGGTGAGCAATTTCGTACAGTGTCAGTGAGTTCAGATGATGATATGATTGACATCACCACAACAGGAACTGTCACAGAACGCTCAATTCATCAAGATGAAGTTTCAGCATGGCATTGTAAGTAACGTGAATAACATTGACTGAAATCAAATATCCAGAAAAATGAAAGTGCTTATAACGCTATTTTTATACTTGTGTAAAGTGGTATTTAAATGCCTTTCAAGTTAAATACTTTTAATAAGTTGAAATCTAGGTTTTTAACTTTTAATGCGATGTGAAAAGATAATGCTGGTGACAATTTAAATTGGATTTTAAAATTTGTTCTAGTGCTGTTTCTTGAAGTAATTCAGGGCACATTTTTTAAAATTTTCCAATTTACAATTAATTGTTAATTGACAAGTGTGAAATTATAAAATGATTTAATGAGCATTTTGTGACGGCGCAATGTCTGTTTTGCCATAAAAAAGTTAACTAATCTGGTGGTATTTCCTCCTCTCTAAAATATATGTTCTGTTATTTTCATTCTTGAGAAAGAATGAGAATGTGAAACTGATATTGTATGTGTAGAAATTTCAGTGCTTTTTGTAATAAAAAAATATTTACATAAATATGGGCAAAAGCTACTTATATATCATGCTAATTGGCATGTAGTTGGATGAGAAACAAACGGAAATATATGGATAATTATTTTGTAAGGTATTTACCTTTTCTTAATATAAACCAATAACTTCTTTGTGTGTAGTTTTAGTTAGCAATAATACTTTTTATTTATTTGCATAAACACATCCCAAATCCCCCTCGTAAGCAACTGAAAGACACTATTGTTGGTACAGACAAAAGTCACCTCAAATTGAAATTGTGAAGTACGGCTTCAGCTAGAAATGTTGAATTGTTTGTTATTTCCTTTTATTAAATACTGACAGTCAAAAATATACTTAGACTGAAGGTTGTCAACTACAACATTATTAGGAAACAAAATGCAGAGAATTTAATATTGATTTGTGAATAAGAAGTTCAGGGAACGCGGCAATAGAACATTGCTTTCATTGTTTAAGCATTGTGTTTATGATAATGTGCACTTAGCAGAGCGACATGGACTCCTGCAGTATGTGTTTGAGAAACAAATTTATCAATGCAAGTGAACATTACTTTTATACGTAGGGAACAAATACAATTCATAGGAAAATATTGTTTATTAAGATGACTTCCTCCAGGTGTCCATGTTTTGCAATGGACCTTCATTACAACCTTGCATAATTTGTGTCTAATGCATGTGTTACACGGTTTGTTTTCATTTGCAAGATATATTAGGAGTTGGAAAGCATTCCTATAGTGTATTTTTTTAATAGACTTTTCTAATTAAAATAAGAATTTTTGACACTTGTACCAAACAGTGAATTACAAAGAGCAACAATAAACTTAATGCTTACGAGCTGTGAATTTAGAAGTTTCGAAGGAAATTCCTCAGCATCTAAAAAGTGTCAAATCATATTCTTATTTTAACTAAACATTGTGTTAGAAGTAAACAAGGTATTTGCTTATTTCCAGTACATTGCAATCCTAACAAGTTATTGTTTTCATTCTGAATTCCTGTAATCAATCCATTAAAAAGTACAGAAGCTTTATTTATAATTCATTGTTATTTACATGCATGTTGGTACCATACATAGAATAATAACCAGCAACTTTGGCTAAATAATTTAACATCTTTTACTCAAGCATTTGCACAATATTATGTTAGTAGCATGTTGATGTGCATGTTTCATGTAATTTTTGCTTTTCAATCACTATTTTGTCCATTTTTCTTTTCTTTTCAAGTTATGGCTATTAAGTACTCGGGCCACTCGGGAGGTGAGTGTCAAAATTTTCCTTTTCATTCATTTACGCATTAATTTATGTACTTGTTTATTTTTTAATGACCTTCCATTTTGAAAAAAAAATTGTTAAGGTGTGTGAATCTTTTCTCAATTTAAAAAGCAATGAAACAAACTTCTTTCTAAAAACATTAAGAAAAAAGAAACAGATTTATAGTTGCTTGATTCTTCCATGAGCCAAATCTCGTAATGGTTTGTACATGTTTAATGAAGTAGCTGTATTAATTGTTTTTCATATTATCCATTTGCAGACAATGTCGGGATATACCCTGCTTGATACATCAGAAAGAGGTACATTTCATCTGTTGATAACATGATTGTCTCTATGTAATTGTGTAAGACAAATGTGTATACTTTGTACTGAAGTATTGAGGGGCAGAAATTGAATAAAACTGGTTATAAGAATTTTACATAATTTGTTTTGGTATGTAATCTTTGATTCTAATGTATAATTAGAACGTTTAATCATATTTCGAGGTTTAGCTTCTGGAAGTTCAAGTTAATATATAATTAAAAATTATAAATTTGTTATGGGACATTATGAATTAAATTACGTGTGAGAGTGTCACTTGTACAGAAGCAGCAAAGCAAAAACAATTGTAGACCCAAAGTAGTGGACTGAGCACTTTGATCAGTGGTATTTAGAGAAAATTGTTCTTCTTTTATAAATAATATTCACATGCTTATTTTAATCAGAGTGTATTTTGGAAAGTATGGGGTCTATAAAATAAATTTCATAACCTTTTCTTTGTTGAAATACATTTATTCACTATAATCCTTATAATGATTTTTTCTTCAATAAATAAAGAACATGGAATTATGCAGGGTTTCATGTGGGTTCAAGCAATCACAATAACTAATTTATTTTTGAAGTTTATAGTTCTGAATGTCATACCTAGGTTTTATTTGTGTGATGATTTTATATTATTTGCATGCTTTCTGTATCAGTGTGAATGTATACCTCAGCACCTTGTTTTAGGAATAAATTTCTAAGCATGAACCTTACATCCTTCATTGTTCGCTTAATCTTGCTGAAAGGTACTAATGGTGCTTTTTATCAATAATAAATGTCATAAATGTACAGAATGGGAATTCTGTAACATGTTTGATTGCACAATGATGCCTTTTAACTCCATCACACACATTAGAATTCATTTCCTTATTAATCATGTTTCATTAATACGGTTTCTCATGGTTTTGCCTTCTGCTTTCATTTTATGCTATTGTCATGACTTTAATACTTTTAATTTTTTTCAAAGTTTAATTTAGTTTTGCTTTTAACACTCATTATTTTGATTGCTAACATTCCATTTTGATGAATTTACTTCTTTTCATTTAATGTTCCATATTTTACTACCTTTAACATTAAATAAAATATTTGATATTTTGCATTGTTTTGTTGTGATTTGCACTGAAACAGACTGTGACTTCTTAGGACCTTTATAAGTATCAAATTAATGTTTTCAAAATCAGACCATTAGGTAATTTTGTCTGATAATGAGTTATAATGCCAATATGAAGCTAAAAGTTGTTGTTGTTTTTTTCTTTTTGTGACATGAATGTTGCTTTTGGCTTTGTGAAGTATTGCAAGTTCACTGTCTTCGTAGTATGTCTATAAATTGTTGCCTGTAGTATGTCTATAAATTGTTGTTGCATTTTTCTTTGTTAGCCATTAGTGTTTTGTTTGTTTGTTTGTTTTTTTAAAGGTGGAGTAACAATTCAAGGAATGCAAGGTAAGTTGATCAAGATAGCATGAATAATTAGTTCCATATAGCTTTTGGCTGCCGTGTTGAAATGAAATTGAAGTTGCAATGCAATTTAATGAACTTATTGCTGCCTTCTTCAAACTCTATTAACAAGGTTTTCATTTCTTTTGCTTATGAAATACAAAGAGTATATCTCTGCATCTTTGAAAGTTGGTTAATTTATGCAGAAAACTATGCTTGTATTAGAAATATTACTTTCTTAATGAAATATGGGAGAAAAGGTTAAAGTGTCTTTTTACATTTGCTTCTCATTGTGTTTGTTGTTTATATAAAGTTGGTTTGGTCTACGTTTGCAGGCGAATCTGATGAAATCCCTGGCATTGGCCAATATGATGACTTCCACACCATTGATTGGCAACGTGACATTGCACGTGACAGAATGCGTCATCGATACATCATTAAGAAAAAGCAAGATTCTATATGGGATCTCATAAAGGGTGCTCATGATGCGTGGTCAGGATGGGTTTGTGTTCTTCTGGTTGGTGTCTCAACAGGTGTTGTGGCTGGAGTTATTGACATTGGTGCTAGTTGGATGTCAGATTTAAAATATGGCATTTGCCCTCAAGCTTTTTGGCTAAACAGAGAACAGTGTTGTTGGTCATCAAATGAAACCACTTTTGATAATGGAAACTGTTCACAGGTAATATAATTTTTTACTTCTGTGTAAATATTTGAAAAATGGAACTTACATCTGTTTTTTAAATTTTTTTATTAACAGTGGTGGACATGGCCAGAAGTCTTCAATCAATCAAGAGAAGGAGTGGGTCCTTACATCATTTCGTACCTATTTTATATTGTGTGGGCACTGATATTTGCTGCACTTGCTGCATCACTAGTCAGAATGTTTGCTCCATATGCATGTGGCTCTGGTATTCCCGAGGTAGGCATAATTTTAAACCTTAAATTTCAAACGTTTACTCTGGTATTGGTAAATAAATTCAGTTGATAATTGTGTGTGTTTGCATTCTAGATTAAAACTATTTTGAGTGGCTTCATCATAAGGGGTTATTTGGGCAAATGGACCTTGATTATTAAATCTGTGGGTATAATGTTGGCTGTGTCAGCTGGCCTCAGCCTTGGAAAAGAAGGCCCAATGGTGCACATTGCATGTTGCATTGGTATGTTATGAATAAACTATTATGTAATACGATAATAAATTGCTGTAATGTTTATATTTTGTTGCAAAAGTGATTAAATTGTGAATTGTTATTAAATTGTCTTTGTTAATTCATGATATGAAATTCCATTTTTAGGAAATATATTTTCATATTTATTTCCAAAATATGGTCGAAATGAGGCAAAAAAGAGAGAGATCTTATCTGCTGCAGCAGCGGCAGGAGTGTCAGTAGCGTTTGGGGCTCCTATCGGAGGTGTTCTGTTCAGTTTGGAAGAGGTGGGGAAATGTGTTTAAATATTAATATCAGAGTTAATTTATTCCTAAATGTATATTTTTCTATGAATGTTTTCAGGTCAGTTATTACTTTCCATTAAAAACATTGTGGAGATCTTTCTTCTGTGCTTTAGTGGCTGCATTTATTTTGAGATCAATAAATCCATTTGGAAATGAACATTCTGTTCTATTTTATGTGGAGTATAACAAACCTTGGATATTCTTTGAATTGGTTCCTTTCATCGGTTTGGGAATTATTGGAGTAAGTTGGATTGATTTTTCATCCAGTTATTTATTTCTGTTTAATGTCTAACATGAATTTCTTGCTTTTCTAGGGCATCATTGCAACTCTGTTCATAAAGGCTAATTTGTATTGGTGCCGCTACCGAAAAACTTCAAAACTGGGGCAATATCCTGTAACTGAAGTACTTGTAGTTGCTGTTGTCACTGCTGTTATTGCATACCCGAATCCATATACAAGAATGAACACAAGCCAATTAATCTACTTATTGTTCAACCAGTGTGGAATATCAAACTCTGATAATCTCTGGTATGCCTTCTTATTATGTGGTTAAATGAGTAATAGGTTTTCCTAACACATATATTGTTTGCAATATTCTGTTGCAGTGACTACAACCGCAACTTCACTAATGTAAACTCTGCAATAGAAATTGCTGCAGCAGGTCCAGGTGTTATTAAAGCTGTTTGGCTATTAGTTCTCGCACTGATCTTCAAACTTGTGGCCACAATTTTTACTTTTGGCTTCAAGGCACCATGTGGTTTGTTTATTCCAAGCTTATGCCTTGGAGCCATTATGGGAAGAATTGTTGGAATTGGTGTTGAACAGTTAGCGTATCATTATCCTCATATATGGGTTTTTAGTGGAGAGTGTTCAACTGGAGATGATTGCATTACTCCAGGATTATATGCAATGGTGGGTGCAGCTGCTGTACTGGGTGGTGTTACTCGCATGACAGGTATGTTTCAAATTATTTTAAGTAGTTGATTCATTTTTACCATCTTTAAGATAAAACAATTAAGCAAGATTGTTAGTGAAATTAGGCATTTGTACCTTGTGGGTTGCTTTTAATTTCCACTTTATTTATGCTCTTTCTGTTAGTGATTCATCTCGGTGTTCTTCTTGTTTTTTAATGACAGACTACCTTTTTTATAGGTATATAAATCTTTTTGGTGATGACAGGGTCAACATAAAAAAAAAATGTAGTTCAGTTCACAAAAGGCTTGAACGCACCAATGTCCTTGTTTTCCAACCCATTAACATATTTGTTTTTAATCATGATTTACTAGATTTCTCTAAGTATTCAATAGTTTTAACTTGTATAGAGTTACCATTTTAATTGCATCAGGTAATGGCACAGGTTTGGAGAAAAATTACTTTCAACTGGCTGGTGTCAAAATATTTACAAAACCCAAAACACCTAATCTTCACCCTAACCTGACAGGTTTATTGTTAGTGGATCCAAAAGCTCACATACAAGGAACCTGAAGTTGTTATGAACAAAGAAACAAATTAAATTTAGTAATTATTTTTAATAATTTTGATTAAATGTAATGTTAAACAGAACACATTTCCAACATGAGATCAGTTCAGATGTACAAATTTGTTTGAATTTGGCAACTTAATTACTTTCTTTTATAACAAGCACTTAAGCTTCAGAATTTTTGCTGATTTACGTTTTCAGATCTTTTGTTCCATCTTCGTCTGTCTCCAAATATCTGTAAGAATATGGAAGACAGATATATCTATATGTTGAGTAAGATGGGTAGAATTGCGATTTAATCCACAAGCTCGATCCCCTTTTTGGAGCAAACTTGGGAGAGTCATAAAGAGTTACGAAAAGTATGCCTATTTAAAAATATAGCTATTGGCATCACAATTTTGTTTTGAAGCAGCCCAGGGTAATATGTTTGCTACACCCCTAAAATAATTTGCAATTTATCCATCCCTGTTCAGAGTGGTCAGCGACTTGATCATCAGAAGCACCACTGGTTATTCCAGCTGGTATGCAAGTGAATTGATTAAGCAGCATTTCCAGTTATCAAGGAAGTGACATTTTCTTTCTAATAATTTTCTGCTTCCAGGAAAAGGGCTTTGGAGCCTTTTTTCTGCTAATATTTTCTTCCTCTGGGATTTAAGAAAAAAATTGATTTCATCGGTGAAAATATTCTTAATGTATCTTGGAGGGTTGTCAGGAAATTTTCTTCAAAATAATTTCTTTCTTCTTCAATTCACTCTTCTATTACACATTTATTTTCTAACTTCCAGTTGTGAAATTTTGACATATGACGTTAAAATTGTTATGTCACGTTTAAAACCCAAATATATAAATATGAAAGGCTTGTCTTCTACAATAGCAATACCCAATGGACAAATAGAGAATGCAAAAGGTGTTCCAATGCTTTCATCCATTGTAATTTGTCCCTTATTCTTGGTCATCAGTGTTACCATCGATACACCTAACTCCTTTGCCGTCCAGACCTGCTGCATTTTAACTTCCTCATTCATTCGCAGCATCTGCTGCTTTCACTTCCCTTGTGTACTGTAGAACATTTTTATTGTTAATACTACATAAATTTGCAGAAAGTACACATTAATTAAAATATTTCTTAAAGCTGGCATACTGGGAACGTGTGGTTGATACCCTCTGCAACATTAGGTTCTGAACCTATTAGACCATTAAAGATAAGACCCTTATTTATGTCATGATGTGCTTCTTAACAAAATACAGAGAGTACAAAATTATAATTAGAATCTAAAGTGTAAACCACTCACTTCCTTAAGTACTACATAATTTTTGAGAATCTAAACCTAACAACGCCACAATGTTGATGATCTATACCATGATTATAAACACAAAGGAGACTTTCCAATTCTTTTAATGACAAATATTGTCTGATACAACATTATGAAAATGTGAAAAATGGTGTGCCCTTATTTAACTGTATTTGTAGTGATAAACGTTCTTTAATTACTCGTGTGTAATTGTGCACCTCTACCAAAATGCTGACTGTTTAAGCTCGTGACGGCTGCAAGATTCATAGTCACTGTAGTGAGAAGGCAGCAATATTTTACTTGAGCATATAAAACAATTTTAACATTAATATTTTTACAATTGACAAAATAAATTAACACAATTATTAATAAAATGAGTTATTTTGTATGTAAAATTTCAGGTGTAGTTATTATGAATTTCATGTGAATGATTTTTAAACTATAAAAAGGATTCAAATAGATTTGTTGTAATTTTTTGTGAAGTTTTAAACATTTTTTTAAATTACTGTGTCAAAATTCTTTAATAACTGTAATATATGTAATAACCGTAATATATGCTTGGGGGGGGGTACGATTTTTTGCCCTATGTACTTCAGAAGCTTTGCTAAACCACTGCCAAGAACACACAGCTGGATTTCAGCCTCGGTTGCCACTGCTTAGATTCAGAAAATACTTTTGAATCATATTTGTTTTCCGTTTTCTTTTCTTCTCCATATTAATAGCCAATTTTTGTAAACCATACAGGACAATACTAACTAGTAGTATTGTGCTATTTATGATTTTTGTCTTTGATGACTCGGAATTGGATCACTTTTTTAGGACATATTTTTCCTCAATTAATCATTATGCTAATGTATTTCAATTGCACTCTTTGGTAACTGTTTAAGCCCAAATATTTGAGCTCCTTACATTCTGTTTTGTAATTCTAAAAATATTTGAGTTTTTCTATTCTTATCTATTCTACTCCTCTGGCTCTACTGTGTTTGCCATCTCTATTAACGCCAGTGCATCTATTCTTGATGAACCAATTATACATTGTGACCATTTTATAAATGTGCCGGTGGCGCAAGGATTTGGCCTCTGGGAAGGAGGCCACGATTGCTGGGGAAAGAAACAGTGGCTGGTAGAACTGCTGAAGAGGGAAGGTGTCTTTTCGCTATCGGAAAGTTTAAATTCTACTCACGTTATAGTATATGCTGGAACTGCACTCACCTTTACCCCTGATGCATTCTTGATATCTATAGAAGTTCTGGTTCACTTGATAAAGAATGTTGTGTGGTATTGCAGAGTTCCTGTATATTGTGCCGTAATTCTTCCAAATTATTAAAATAATCAAACCTTGCAGACTCAAATGAAGGTCCTCTCTTCTTTCTATTGCTCAAGGCCTAGTAATAGAATACCTCTATGTTAATGCAGAGTGGAAGCAAGCTCTGGACACAAGCTCTTAAATCCACCTTCTCTACCCCCTGATTCAACCTGCCTCAGAAAAGCTAGATTCCCCTCAATAGAGCTCGCACCAGCATACTAGGTTGGTGCTGTGCCAGCCTTGTCAAATTGATATTTAATTCAAGCCCTGGCTGTGACTGAGGAGCTCTACAACAAATCATGGAGCATGTCGTCTAGGAGTGTCTGCTCAGTGCTTTCAGCAGGACAGATAATGACCTGAAGCTGAAGATGCCTGATAAGCATCACCTGAAACTGTCCAGTGGCTGGACTCTCCGGAATTGGAGTTTTAAAACTTGTATACCTCTTGCCCTTTTTTAAATTTTATTTTCCGTGGTGTAACATCTCATCAAATGTTGTTTTTTTATTTTGTATTTATATCGTGCACCTTGAGCTAAATCAAAAAACTATTACAACCTAGTACTTGGCTGGGTTTTGGATCATGTGGTATCATCATAGGTTTATTAAATCTATTTAAGTTTTTAAATTGTTTTGACATGGATGCCAATAACTATAGCAGATAAAGCATTACCTAAATGTCAAATCTATTGTATCTAGTCCATTCTAGTGCTATGTATTTTAATGCAAAATTTATATTTGTGTGTGTTTTGTGTGTTGCAGTATCACTTGTGGTCATAATGTTCGAACTGACTGGAGGTGTGCGCTACATTGTACCTTTGATGGCAGCTGCTATGGCCAGCAAATGGGTAGGAGATGCCCTGGGTCGGCAGGGTGTGTATGATGCTCACATTGAACTCAATGGCTATCCATTCTTGGACAGTAAAGAAGAATTTGCACATACATCTCTTGCTGCTGATGTCATGCAGCCAAAGTAAGTGAATTTTATTATTGTGTGAAAGTAAGTAGTATTTTTTCTAGGGTGAATGTCTTTGTTCTCAAGAGATACTATTGAAGTTACTAACATTTTTTGTGATTGTATTTAACAAGTATAATTAGTTGATTCAAATTTTATAAAGAAGAAGAAGAAGATAATGATTATGGTGGTGGTGGTGGTGGTGGTGGTAGTGGTGGTGATGGTGATTCCAAATACACGCATGTATAAATGCATTTGTAGAGGAAAAATTCCATCCAATAATCCATCCAAAAAAATCCAATAATTAAATATTAATAATGAAATAGTCTTTGTTTCTAAAATGGAGAACATTTGAATTAATTTACTACAATATTGTTTCCAACATTAATCCAATGTTTTTTGCTTCCTGATTTTGTCACTTACTAACCCTTTTCAATTGTTTTTTGATGTTCAAAAATTGTAGTAATTCAGGATTATTAGCAAGGAGTGCAAACTTTTGTAGCTATAGAACAAATTTCAGGGATTCAGAATGGGTATGTACTGAGGGAATTGTTTCATTTACCAAATCTTCGTTAGTATCAGATCTTTCGTCACTGTTGTGTCAATGTCTCTGACTGTATACACATCTTCAATGATATGGACTACTTCTACCATGCAGTGTGCAATCATTCACATCATGCACTGAGCTTATTTGAAATAAACTTATAATAGCTTTTGATACCAGTTTCTCAGTAATTGACAAAAAATATTTTGAAATTTTTTTTTTATGCCCATTGCGTGTTGATGGGAACAGTGTTCCTGAATGGAGTTGATTGGGGTACAAAGTAACAATGAAATGAAATACATTTTTGCAGCGACACCAGCAATGAATTTCTATAACACTTGCATTAGATATGAGAAATCCGCTTTTTGGCACAATAATTTATAAGTGCTATTGGATTTACACGTTTCCAACACATTTTTCTTGACGATGTATTTAAATGTAATTCATCAAGTCGTTAATTAAGTCATAACAATTTAGAAAACCAGCTGAGATTACAGTACAGATTTTAAAAAATTAAATGGAAGAAAGGAGAAACAGGGGGGAAAAAAAATTTTATTTCTGGTTTTAAAGAATCTTTACCCACCCCACTATAAAGTTTGTTCGACAAAACTGATATACATATACTATATTGATGATGCTATGCAATGAAATTGGTGACAATGGGTGCCCTTGTGTTATACCATGATTAATATTGGCAGTTTCTTTTCCATTTACTGAATTTTTTATTGTTTTCAATCTGCAGGTTGTGAATATTTCTTATTAAATGCTATTGTATTCCTTTTTTATTCAGTATTTCCATGCAAGTGTTCTTCCAATTTTATCAAATGCCTCTTGGTAGTCAACAATCAATTTATACATTGTTAATATTCACGTGTCTGTTCTTGTTCATTCATGATTATTCTATTTGGCCCTTTAGTTTTTAACAGACCTTTTTAACTATTATGGTGTTTACATAAAAACACTATAAATATGCATTTCGTTTTCGGGTTTTTTATTGCAAAATGAAAATTATTAAAATTAATTATTACTAAATGCATATTCATAGTGTTATGTAAAAACCACATAAGTTAAAGAGGTCTTTTAAAAACTAAAGGGCCAAATAGAACAACTAATACATTACGAGATTGTTCCCTTCATTTCTCTGTTACCACATTGTGGACCGTAGACAAAAATTCTCGAATGGGAAGAACCACAGATGGAGATTCTTACCTTGGCATCCTCTCGTGGATGACATCTATTATTGTTTTGAGAAACTATTGCTCCATTTCTGTGTGAGTCTGAATAGTTTTTGAGGTGGTATTAAATGATCTTCCTGCAAATGTATTGTGTGCACATGCTTAATTTTTTTTATTGTTTTGACAGAAGTTGTCTCATAAACCTTTTTTTGAAACAATTCAAGTTATGTTATTATTTTTTATTGTTCTTTTTCTTTGTAATTAAATGTGTTTTATCTTTGCATGATAAATTGTTATTGTATACTTAATGACTAGATGAAACATAAATTTATGCTTTTTTCAAATTCTGTTGCAGGCGAAATGAAACGCTCAGTGTACTCACACAAGATTCAATGACTGTTGAAGATGTGGAAAATATTTTAAAGGAGACTGAACATAATGGCTTTCCTGTGGTTGTATCACGGGAATCCCAATATTTGGTTGGCTTTGTACTTCGAAGGGATCTAAATCTTGCAATAGGTATTAACATTGATAAATTTCTACTTTAGAAGTAAACATTTCTGTGTCCACTTTCCATAATTTTACAGGAGACTTGTCAAAGATAATAAGGCTGTTCCATCTTCATTTGCTAATACATCCTGTCATTCACATTCACTAAAATTTCTTTCTTTACTTAATAAATTTGTTAAAGGATATTATAATTATCTGGTTAAACATTCTGATTTAATTTGTAGACAGGTTTTTTAATCTTTGAATAACAATGGCTGTGCCACATTTTTTGAAACACTGTTGAAATTAATCAAAACTAAATTATGGACAGTTCATGAAATAACTTTGGTATAAAAAAATTAATATTATATTAGGCAAGTCTGCAAACTGTGTTGGAATGACAACTATATTGAAATTAGTAATAAACTGTAGTAGAACTAATATACAATACTAAAAATTGATAACCTGGCAAATATTTTACTTGTACATACACATTACATGTAGATTTTTAATATTGACTGAGTGAATTATATGTGAATATTCTGAAATACTTTCTTCTGGGTGATCATCTACTTGTTTTGACATGGGATTAGACAGAATGAGAAACTGACTGATGAAATGTTAAAAGGGGAATTAGAGCATTCTACTTCACAGTGGAAATGGGTTTCAATGTTTTGCCAATATAACGCAGCTCTTCTGAGATTGTAACTTTGCCCTTCCTTTTATTTCTTCAGCATTGTCAGTGAAGGGGAGTAAGTCAAAGAGACTTTTGGAATACAAAGGCCTAAAACTGTTGAATCTTGTTAGCACCTGTCCCATTATGTTTCCCCAGAACTGCTGTTTAAGCTACATAAGTCTGCATTTTAAAGTCTTAGTCCCACTTCTGTTAAATTACTCATTTATTCCCTCTTAGAATTTTTAAAGTTCGAAACATATACTACAATTCATGCTTTGCGCTTCCAGGATACTTGAAGGTACCAGTGTATAGAGGGATACTTTCAGAGAGTAATGGGTGTTCAGTTTGTTTGGTTACAAGAGCCAGAGAAACATGTTTTACTGTGCCTCTGCCATCTTTGTTCTGTGGGTTTTCTTGTTATGATACATTTCCTATGAAGTATTTCTTGGAATGTGATATACTGAGGGCAGAATTAATTTCTTGTATGTACTTGCATTTTATTTAGGTGTAAATTAGTTAATTTTCCCTGTTGTAGTTTTCTGAGTAGGAAACATGAAAAACAAAAATTTAGCATTTTTATCACATTTTTCCGCTTATGATAATTGTGTTCCTTGAAAAATGTGCTAATGAAATTCCACTGCATTTATTCATTTTAGAGGCACATGGCCACATTATATGCCCTGATTGAGTACTTGTATTCATTAACTTACTATACAAGATTAAGGACTGGGTTTATATGCACTATGAAATATTTTTCAGAAGTTTCACTTTTTTGAGAAAATGATTATTCATGCACTTGTGTCTAATGTCCAATTCTACAAAAGCAAATAATTTTTAAAAGAGAGAAATACTTTAAATTTACGATAGAGACTTCAGAAACTTACAATTTTTCTTAGTTTTTAAGATGGTTCAGTGTTACCTAGTTTATACATACTTTTGGAACTTGGGACTCTTGAAACTTTACCACTCATATGTTACCAAGAACAGAAGGAGGAGGGGGGGGGGGAGGAGAATAGTACTTTACGTCATTAAAAAACTTGATAAAATTGAATGTAATATTTATAGATTCAATTAAATCCTCTCGTTTTGTGAAACCTTTAAGCAATTTTGTTCTATGAGGAATACTTTCACTGCTTTGTGGTTACCACTGACAATCTATAGTTTGTTAAATGGATTTTGTCAACTCCAAGATGCAAACAAACAAATAATGAGGTGCTGTAGATTGAGCAGTTGCTGCCATTTCAACATTCCACACATTGAAAGGATGTTACCTCACTGGGCAATGATGAGTGCTATATACAATCTGTCAGGAGCCATACTTTACTGTCCACACTATTAAAAACAGGCTGAGTGTTACGTGATTGGAAGTTGCTTATCTAATTGCCCATGTGCTGGAGATAGGGTTCCATTCTCATTATCTTGCAGTAACTCATCAGCTAATCTGTGCTGGGAACTGTCTCTGATGTATTGGAACACTTTGCAACAGCACTGCCAAACTTGAATAAATTAAATATTTTTAAACTTGCCAATGCAGAAGAATAAAAGCGAATCAAGGAACTCTAGACAATGCTACTAGTCCTTAGAATGATCTGCAAATATACATAAATATAGATTCAACACGCTAACATTGGGGAATCCTTTACGTGCTTCTTGTAATTTCATGGCTATTTCCAAATTGTTTTTTAACTGTTAATGCTAAAATACCTGTAGATTTGCACTGATATTTAATTCTTCAAAATAATGAAAAGGGATTATTTATATAATTTTGTTTGGCCATCACCATGTATTGTAAACTGGTTGCCTCACCACTGATTATGTGAGAATAGGCCATCAGTCTTAGTCTTTCTTAATCAGCTGCGTAAACTGTACTTTTGAAATTCCTCACCAGGTCATCTTGGGTCGTTAGGACTGAGTAAGAGAAGCAAAAGGACATTTCTGATTAATCAGGACGTATAGCAAACCTTCTGTCAAAGTAACTTGGTCACAGACATACAAGCATGTAATTACACATCATCTCAGTCACACTAGTCATCGTATGGACGTGTCACACAAATAAACATGAGCAGAACAGAGTAAATTGAACACAGTATTAATTAATACTCCTGAAGCCATTTTCCTTGAACATATTTTTCATTCCGTCACATGCCTCACCTTCCGTTACCTTTTTACTGTCAACAGCCAAATACGTTGAATTTTCATATTCATTTTGATATTCATAATACTTGTAGAATAATAGTTAACTAGTGTACTATTAAACTCGTGGACCTGTGTTTGCTTAGTTTTATAATAATAATAATAATAATAATAAATTCCTTAGCTAATGCTCGAAGAACAATGGATGGCATCTGTGGTCAGTCGCTAGTGTTGTTTACAAACACTTCACCTTTGCAAACATCTGGACCACCACCTCTAAAATTGAAGAAAATATTGGATATGGCACCTATTACAATAACTGACCAAACACCAATGGAAACAGTTGTGGATATGTTCCGTAAACTAGGGTTGCGTCAGACCTTGGTGACACATAATGGGTGAGTGTACTTCATTTCTGCCTTATTTTTTGTAAGTTGTCTGTATCCAGGACACTTTTTTAAGAGTCATTGTTGTTATTGGATTGTTTGCTTAAATATAACTTAAGAGTAATAGGATCGTAGGAAGAAGAGAATAAAAGAGAGAGAGAAGTGTGTGTGGCATTTTTTTGCAATTTGTGAGAACTAACTTAACGAGTTTTTTGAAATGGAACCTTGCTGAACATTCACTATCACAATAGAATAGCTGTTTCATTCCCTTAGAAGCATAAACTTATCTTTAGTGAAATAAGGCATCGTCCAATATTCAGGCTGAACATTGTAACTGAACATAATTGGTGTAGCAACCTTAAAAAAATGATAATATATTTAATATTAATTATATAATATATAATTTATATATTTTTATTATTATTATTATTATTATTGCCTTCTACTTACCTTACAAAACCTTAAATCTATAACTTCTTATGAATTTGTAGTTTCTTCCTTTTGGTTGGAACCCATTGCAATTACTACTACTACTACTACTACTACTACTACTACTACTTTCAACGAAAATATTTGTAGAAATGTGTTTATTTTTTATTACTAATTTATATTTTGTGTAAGTAATCTAATCTGAATCTATATATTTGAATGATTTTAGACGTTTACTTGGTGTCATCACTAAAAAAGATGTGCTGAGACATGTGAAGCAGATGGATAATGAAGATCCTAATTCAATACAATTCAATTGAGGTAAAAAGTAATCAAGACTAACACAACTTCAAGGCGTTAACCCATGTTGAGATGTTCTAGTATTGTTTAGTTCAAATACAGAATGAAAGGGTAGATTGTAAATGAATGGAAAGATGATTGTGCAGCGAACTCTGCCTGTTTTGTGGTGGGGATATAGATAATTTTACATTTAAGTTTATTCTTGCACTGGAAATTCTTAACATTTTAATTATTTTTTATTCAAAATCCGTAGAATTTTAAATTGGTCATCATTGTTTTTCTGTTACATGTTTTAATATAAAATTTTCTCTGGAAGTGTTTATATATAATTCTATATTTAAAAGGAATATTTTACCACAAAATAAAATGAATTTGGTTGACTTGTGTGAAAGATGTATTGCAGTGCTCAGTGTACATATTTATTTTAAATTAAGGAAATAAGGGGCTTGAATGTTTTATCCCCAAAATATTCATTACAAAAATTTGGACTGTTTTCCACAAGTTATGTTGGGACCTGCTTATTTCCTGCATACGCTCTTCCAGCAATAACAACATTATCAGGAATTATACCAACAGATGTATGTCCTCGCTTGTTATTTGCTTCCCTATTTCAAAGTAATTCTGTTACTTTATTTATAAATTGCCAGTAAACTTATGTGTTGCTGGGGCAATGTTATTCCTGTGACACATCAGCTTATGCCAACATTTGGTGTATAAAATTACTTTTAATATACCTGATTTTGTATGTATTGTCAGTTGAACTTGCATGTCTCTTCAATGGGTAGGCATGAAATGATAAACTTGAAATTGTATGTTTCATCTATTGATGTATTTAATTGTATGTTGTATTAAAATGAATCAAGTGTATGTCCATGTATGTTCCAGCTGTAGTATTTAATGCTATTTTTGTTCTAGCTATTGAAATTTTATGTTTCTAGTAATTTATATTGTAATTTATCTGTTATCAGTAGAACAACATTTTTGTCTGTTGTTTGCAATTGATTTTTTATCTTGTTACAGAAGTGAGGGATTTTCTTACATTCTTGATAGTAGGGGGCTAATTACTTACTCAGTTGAAGCTAGTCACTTAGTGCTCTTTTTGTGAAATCTGTCTTGTCTAGAACACTTAACTCCAGTATAAAATTACAATGAGACTTGCCTATAAAGATTGCTGTTAGAAAATACAGACAATAAAATTTCATGTTATTCTTCAAAATTACCATAAAATATGAATTGACCACACTAAGTGTGAACATAACATTGCTGGAGTGTAATCTGTTTTATATTAAAAATTGCAGATTTCTGTAAGTAGGTGTTTTGATAGGAATATTCATCTGTGGTTTTTGTTAGTTACTCATTCATTCCGTATGAAATGTCTATTAAATTTTGTGTATTAATTAAAAGTACACCACATTGTAATTATTAGGTGTATGTGTGTATATATATATATATATACACATACATACATATATATATATTTGAAGTGTTATTCTTCTCGAGTACTATGAAAGATGTACTGTTAATAAAGTGACACAACTAAGAAATGTATCGAATGGTATCCTTTGTTTTTAATATGCTGCTAATTGTGAAGTATGTGTCAGTGGACTAGAAAGTTCTTGCTGCATTATAAACATCATCTACAAAGAAAGAATTTTCACTGTCAGATTTAGCTTTGAGGAGTTCCTAAGTAATTGAAGGTAATGGGTCCCTTCATGATTATGTTTAGCTGTCATTTGTCATGGAGGAAGTTGTCACTGTTTTTATGTTTAATTCATGCTGTATGGCAACTTGTTGCTCTAATCTATATACATAAAAATGGATGTTGGAATATGAGTGGTAATTTCCAACACCGTGTAACAGATCTCCATGAAAGTTGGCACATCTACGTGTTTTTTCATCCGTGGTTATATGCTGTTAATTTTGTTGTAACTCCACTAGAAGGCGCTGCAGAACAAACGTACACGTAATTTAAATTTAGTTTCCATTCAAACTGGGCTTCATTTTCCTGAGAGACAGAGACACACAGACAAAGACTAGGACAGAGAGAAAAGGAAAAAAATCTGCCGAGTTGCACAGAAGGCATTTTATCAAAGTAATTGTACTAAATTTCAAATAAGAAATTCATTAATATTGAAATAATTGTTAAGATCTAATATAAATGACTTTGTATTCATAACGAACTTAAAAATGCACACACATTTATATTTGGCAGTAACATAAGTTCCAATGAAAATTATTTACAAAGGCTGATATTTCAGGCACTACAAACATTCCATAACACAATAATAGGTGAGAATATGATAGGGAAAGTAATAATTGTAAATAGCCTGATTAACATGAAATTAAACATAAGTTAGTACAAAATGTATATAATTGTATTAATGGATCTATTCCCATTAACTGTGTGAAATTTAATAATGATGAACGTGTACAATTTGTACACAAAGATCTAAATTGAATACTGCCCTTCTTGTGTTTGTCAAAGCTAATTTGCTGATATCATCAAATGACAAACTGTATAGCTTGTCAGTTTCTGTGCATAAGTTTGAAGTATAATAATTTATTTTTAGATGTTCTCAATTTATATTTTATTCTCAACACAGAAAAGGATCTTTCTCCTTGGCAATTCGCAATCATCATGCAAAGTAGCATTATGAGAATTTTGGGTATATTAGGGAATGTTTATTGGACATAATCATTAAAAATTACTTGATACAAATCCTGATGTACAACCATCATGTTAATGGCTTTGAACGACTGTAACACTGATAAAAAATGATTCACTTCTCCAAGATTTTGTCATTTATTTTAGGTTGTGTATGGCTTAAAGCATTACCTCCTTCATAAACCTCTCATTCTGTACCATCTAGTAATGTTGAAAATGAATTAATTTCAGTATAATTTTATATTACCCTTGGAACTGAATTTGATTCTAAAGGATCCATGATGGTAAGTGCACAGCTGACTTCAAGAAAAGTTTTTAGCATTTGGCACTGAGTAAAACAAAAAAATACATAATATGGAAGTAATATAATATTTGTTTGGTAGTTTGTATTGTTGTATAAGGTAGGTTAAACCAAATTCATACAAAGTATAAACAAATTTCTATTCATTTTGAAAATGTCAAGTAAGATGCATCTTTAGCCAACACCTATGATGTCTGACTGCTCCAAAAGCTGATACATTAATTATCCTAAAGCTAACACTGGATTCTGTCCAAAAGTTATACTTTTTACAGAAGACTGAAATATTGATTTATCTGCAGTAAATTTAAGGAATAAAGATTGTCACTTCTGAAGACTAAGTAAATTGAAATTCAGATATATTGAGCTGTTTTTAGAATAAGTTTTCCAAAAATTATTTTTATAAGAATGATTTTCATGTTGGGAATATCTTTCTTGTGCTTTGTTATCAACAGATTTAAATAAAGAAACGATGCATGAATTTAGTTAAATACATAATGTCATTTCGTGAACAAAGGGATTTTATGATATTCAAAATTTTCTTTGTTTTACAAGTGATTTTGACATTTCCTTTACCAAACACATCTTCCTTGGGGTCATAACTAGGTGATTCAAATTTATAAATTATCCCCTTTTATTTTATTCCTCTCGATTAGCTTTCTTTGCTCGGAAAGGAACTCCATTGGCTTCTTCTGGATTACTGGAACTAAATGAGACAAAAATTACATTCCTCTCATATGTGCTCTGCTTTTAGAATTAATGCAGCATTTTAATTCTGCATTATTGGTTTAAAATACCCAGCTGCTAACCTTTGGATAGGAAATTGTATTGTTGGTCTTATTCCTAAAACACCCTATTAGTTACTGGTGAATATGTCAACAATTCTTAAGATTTTTTTAAGAGGTCTTGAATCATTGTCTTTGGAACAATATTGATGAATATGTCATTCTTTCAAAATTATTTATGGACAGTTGTATAGCCTAGGGTAAATATTAGGCATTTGTACAACCACAACAGTTCAAGTACCAATACCTAACACACTCATTTTTCTATACAAATTAGATTCATTAATGAAAAATGTTTTTTTAAGGTGACATGCATTTAGAAATAGTATAGTAAATAAATAAGTGAAAACCAAAAAATATGACCAATATCAATCCAAATAAATTAAGGAGTTAATTTACTGCTCAACAAAATTAAGCAACATTTATGGAAACATCATACTTAGTTTTGCCAAGTACAAGGTAATTCAGAATTCTCAGTATCATTGTTTAAATTATATGGATGTACACCTAAAGCATAGCTTTATTGCATGCATTTTTATTGTCCATGTGTCAGCCTTTGGGTTACTGTTCTATTGATACGTACTATAAATACTTCGATTCTAAACTTTTTTTTTTTAGGCTATTGAAATGTAATCATCTTTGGCTACTTGCCTTCCTAGTTCTGCTTTTCTTTTAATCAACATTAGTCAGTTGGTCCTTTCCCTGTTCAAAATTATCAAAAGGGTCTCTGGAACATCACCTGGTGAGTCACCTGATAACAAACATGTGGAATCTGGAGTCTTGGAGTGGAATCTATTGGTAAATTGAAATACCAAGTGGTTTTTAAATTGTTCAAATTAATTCCCTTAATTTATATCCTATCAGTGAGATAAATTGATTGCTAGTGACTGGCTGTTAGACAATTTATATATTCATTGTTCAAGATATAAATATTTGATAATATAAGTTCATGTAAAAGTACAATCATTACAGTGAAGTTAATTTCGTTTATTTACACCCATTTTCGTGAGTAATCTTCATAAATACCTATATATTTGATTTTCTATTTAACTTCCTAAACTGCTTACACCAGGACCAGTTTTAGTTAAATGGGGCAGTGTGTGAGATTTTAAATGTACCTACTGTGTTAATACCAAAGCAGCATATGTCTAAGCAATAATGCCACCTTATCTGCTTCTTTCTAAGAATTCAATGTGTTGCAGACAACCATTTTACACTGTCCGTGGTGTTCCAGGCCGAATCATGGATGTGTGATTTATTGCTGATCCAAAATGGCGTAGGGATGATTCATACGGGACAAAACGAGGTTTCAACTGATGTTGATTCTCACATTGTAACTCCTCTGTGTGCAGTACTGGCGTTTTCAGTTGGTCTGTTCATTGCACTTGCAGGTGAGCCCAAGCAACGACGTGACAGCGGAAGCTGCTGGTCCCAAGCCCGGGTAAAGGAGGGGGTTGCTAGTAGAGGTCTGCATTCTCCGCGATTTACCGGTCCGCGCTCGCTCGCCTCTCTTCCTCCCCAGATCATGGCCGTCGAAGGTGGATTGGTCCACGTCGTGACGGGGGGATGCAAGGAGGGCTCTCAAGTATTCTTTTCTTTCACCAGTCGTCTTTATCTTCCCCCATCGTTCATTCTCGTAGTTTGATAAATGTTTCTTTTCTTCTACCCCTTCTATTTCACTGGCCCTCTTATACTTTGAACGCCCACACATGCATAGGGGACCGTATCGGAGGGTATGTGTCCTGGCGGTTGAGGGGCCTGTTTGTTTCCCTATTAGCCCTTGTGCTACGATCTGCTTTGCACCTAGGGATACATTGTTTACGTATTTTGGGAAACATTCCTTGTAGGTTTCAACACACTTGTGTTTGGCCTTGGGCTCTTCTAGACGGGTGCTACCCCCCTCCCGATCAATCGGCTCGGACTAGGTCTTGTACTGAACTCGGGCACCCCCGTGAGCGGGGGTTTCCACAGCGGGTAGCCCTGTGTCATCCCCGCACGATAGATATATCTTTGTGGCAACACGGTCCCCTTGTTAGATTCCATGGTGGGTGGGGAGCCCGGAGATGAATCTATCCATCGTGTGGATACCAAACAGCCCCTCCTGCCCTCTTCCGCAAGGATGAGGCGATATGCGAAACGAAGACTTCATAAAAAATAGTTTCTTTTTAAAAGATAACACACTTAAAAAGCCTTCTTTCCTCAATGGCATGCGCCCGAGGAAGAGAAAACGTTGTATTCGTCGGGAGCAAGCTATAGAGGAAGCACACGGGAAGCTCCAAGCGGTCGTGCGACAGAGGAATGGAATGATTCCATTTGAAGCACGTACTGATGAGCAAATTGAAAAAAATCCTAGACTAAACAATGCCGGCCTCCAGGTGCTTGTGGCGACTCATCCAACCGTGAATCTATGCAAGGGAATGGTTAACCACGAAGACTGCTTCGGAGAGTGATGAAGATGATTCCTTCAAGAGTTAAGGCGCCACTGAAGCGTACAGGATCAAAAGGAAGGAGCAGGGAAAGTTCTGACTTACTGTACTTGCGGTTAGTCGCTCCAAAAGCAAAACCTTCCGTCCCGCCGCGATTTCCTGGGTCCATAACCTCGTGCAAGTTAATGGCTTTTGAAATTGCGCAAAAATGATATACCAGCTTGTCAATAAACTCATGTATTTGAACTACAACAAAAAGCGTCGAAAACGCAAAACATTCAGTTTAGTTTAAAAAGTGAATATGAGTAATTTTGACTATATTGCAACGTATTTATTGGCGACTAGCACCTCTTGCCCTTTTTCTGCCGGCGAGCACCTCCGATTTGCGGCTGTTCTCGGAGAGGGTCGTTATTGCATATACCTGAAATTCTGACGGGTCAACAGGACCCATGCATAAAGAAGCTTTTGGTCTGTCGAAATCTCACTTCGACCGTACAAGCCACTAAAAGTGGTTCTGGCTTACGCATCAAATTTAATTATTACTATGGCTGGTTTACATTAAATTTAGTTACTACTGTTATTGAAAATTTCTACAATGACGCAATAACAATGGCAGATAGCCCAGCG